TGCAAAGGCCCTGATAGATCGGAGCTGTGCAGGAAATGCGGAGAGAAGGGGCACGTTGCTAAAGACTGTATGAAGCAACCGAGGTGCATGCTCTGCAGAAAGGAGGACGGAAACGGTCATATGACGGGAAGTTTCAGGTGCCCAACTTACAAAAAGGCGATAGCGGGCCAATAGTAATGGAGATAACCCAAATAAATCTCAATCATTGTGACACAGCACAGCAGCTGTTGTGGCAGTCGACAACGGAAACAAAGTGCGACGTTGCAATGATTGCGGAGCCGTATCGAGTCCCTCCCGATAACGATAACTGGGTGGCCGATAGAGCAGGGATGGCGGCAATACAAATTATGGGCAGGTATCCCATACAAGAAGTGGTGACGAGGTCTTACGAAGGTTTTGTGATCGCCAAAATTAATGGATCCTTCGTATGTAGTTGCTATGCACCCCCGAGATGGACAATGGAGCAGTTTTCACCAGATGCTAGATGGACTCACCGGGGAGCTCACCGGACGGAGACCAATCGTCATTGAAGAAGATTTCAATGCTTGGGCAGTGGACTGGGGAAGCAGATGTACGAACGCAAGAGGGTATAGCCTGCTGGAAGCTCTGGTAAAGTTGGACGTCAGTCTGGCCAACGAAGGAACCATCAGCACCTTTCGCAGAGATGGTAGGGAATCCATTATCGACGTCACTTTCTGCAGTCCGTCGTTAGTGGCAAGTATGAACTGGAGAGTGTGTGAGGAGTACACTCATAGTGACCATCAGGCGATTAGGTACAGCTTTGGCCAACGGATACCTACGGAATGTGGAAAACGAAAGTAAGCAAGCGGAGGTGGAAGACGAAGCCATTCGACAAGGATCTCATAATTTTCAACTAGCCCCTCAACCCCCCTCCCCCTGCTTTGATCTTGCCACCACCGCACATTTAATTATCAAAAAATGTCATTATTGAGCTCGACAATCAATAAAATACGAATACGACTGTACAAAACAGTCCACCTTAACCAAAACTAATTGAATCATATAGGCTGACAAAATCGGGTCAAAAAGCTGACAAAATCGGGGGTAGACAAAATCGGGGGCTGACAAAATCGGGTCACCACTGTAATACATCTTATTTACCAACTGCAGCAGGAACTTGTGATTTGTGTAGGAATAGGAATTTGAGCGGGGTTCTCTTTGTGTATACTCTCTGTTTAGGCTAACTGGAAGCAGCGAGCTGCAGCCCACATGACCATCCATAGAAGGAGGAAGAAGCCGCACAGCTATTTATCGGAATCATTAGCTTTTCGTGAGTCGCTGTAGCCATCTATGTCAAGCGCGAGTTAACTTTTTAAATACGAGCGGGAGGTTCTTTTAAAAAAAAGCTTCCACTAAGTTTCGTCGTCAAACTAAGACTGATGTATGTATTCAATATAATTAAACCCTACTCCTACCCGATGCGAAGATCGGTGCTGCCATGTCAGCACCTGGTTTCCGTCGTTGCTATCCGCATCCGTATCGCTGAGCTAGCTGTTGCCGGGCCCGCCGAGTTCCACCGGTGTAAACTTTCCATATGTCGTGGACTTGGTGCATGTTGTCATGTAAAAATTAAGTATCTAGCACGCTGTGGCATTTTTGACGTTGGACTACGTCTGTGATTTCTATATGGGGGTACACTTTGTGAAAACCGAAATTGGAACATGTTACAAAATTATGAAAGATTTTGTACATTAATAACTCAGCTGCCCCTTTACCAATTTCAATAATTTTATCACCAATCGATTAGAAATATGTCTACGCATCTGTTAAACTTAAGACTTTATCGTTTTAATGTCAGTATTGAAAATTGCACGAATGCGCCACTGTTGTTATGATAATTAAAATTATCACCAATTGCCTGCGAAAAGCGATTTCCCTAACACAGATTTTAAAGTTAAATTCCATCCGGTCTCACCATACGGTGTTCATTCAATCACCGCGTGGTGATGGTGTTCTCCAGTACACATCGAAAAGCTCCCCGTAAGCAGCTAGCTATCAAGGTTGACCTCAACCGCTGATCGGATTCAGTTCCAATCACCGTGTATGGTGGTGTCTGGTCGTCGGCATCATCATTATCAGCAGCAGCAGTGCTTTCGGCGCATGGCGTTCAACATTGTTCTCCAGTAATGAAAGGCTGCCTGCAAGCAACGAGCTGTATTCCACATCCATAGAAGGAGGAAGAAGCCGCACCGCTATTGATCGGAATCAGTAGCTCTTCGTGAGTCGCTGTGGACCATCTATGCCAAGCGCGTCATACTAAAGAGTATAAACAGAGAGAACTCCGCTCAAATTGCTATTCCTACACAAAACACAAGCTCCTGCTGCAGTTAACAAATAAGATGTATTATATAAGACCACGTAGTTCTACGTCACCATTGCGTACAACCTCATAGGGCTGTCCCTTGTAGATTTTTTCTCTTATAGTATGGAGCCCAAGGAATGTGTAAAAAATATAAAAGGGTTGAATTGCATTAAATTTTGATGCAGTAGGTATTTGATCAATTGGCGGCCTTTGTAATAATTCCTGATCAACCGACTTCGTTGTAAGAATATCTTAGTAGATTGATTTGATTTATTGAATAGTTATAGATCTTCCGAATAATTACTAATCAACCAGAAGAAAGTCCAAAATACCCTCAGAATATTATGCAGGCATTCGATCAATTGAAGGTCTTTGGAATAATTCCTGATCAACTTAATTTCATGCAAGAATATCTAAGAGGCATGATTTGATTTATTGAAAAATTTTAAATTTGAAAATAATAACTTATCAGCCAGAAGAAGTGGAAAAATACCCAGAGAACATTATGCAGGTATTTGATTAATTTAATGTCTTTGGAATAATTCCTGATTAACCTACTTTCTATGAAGAATATCTAAGAGACATGATTTTATTTCGTGAGCAATAAAAATATCTGCAATTATTACTAATTAATCAGAAGAATTTTCCTATGATTAAAGATTCTGACACATTGCAAAATTGTCTGGAGAATTTTAATGCGAATATTAATATTAGGAGAATTGTGTAATATGGAAAAAATATAAGAAAATAAAACATCAATCTTAATTTCTAGGCTTTGTCCGTCCTCCGGCAACTGTGCATTGCGCTGATTGAGGCAATTTTGAAGCCGACCACCTGGCTGTGTCCGGCAGACAAATGGGAAAATCCCGGGAATTGATCTCAAGAAGTGAACAATCGTCATCAAAGGTGCTCACCAGATTTTCGCACAACCACAATCATTCAACGGAGTGTGTCATCAAAATATTGACACCAAGTATTCTTTGACGAAAGATTTGAAGAAATGAGAAGCATTGCTGTCCAACCGCCGAGAAATAAACATGTATCAAGCAAAATACACAACCTGAGGTGTGTTAACAAAAGCACATCCTGACTGTTGTACTTTGGATTGTTGAGAAATAAATGCAGAAACACTTGATTTGCTTCTTTGAGTTTGATGTCTGTGTTTGGGATGTTTGCAAGAGGACGGGCCGTTCAAAGACGCAAATTTAAGACAAGGAGCCACGAATCGAGGTAATTGGTGTATTATTGTGCAGCAGACCAACTATCATCGAAAAAAAAAAGTTTGGCCTACAAAAGTAAGTGAAGATGACCCATGGTCACCGATCAATCAAAAGAAAGCTCGAACCAAACGTGTTCAAACATTCCTCCTCGAATTGCACCCAGTTATCGCTGAGGAAACAAGCCTCACCAAGCGCTAAGCAGAACCATAAACAGCACGTTTTAAATCGACAAAAATTACAATCCATTCGCTAACCAGTCCCTGCTGACACACACACACACGGTATCGATTTCAAGGAGTGTGACATCGCTCGCGAGCTGAAAAACGGAACATTAGCAACATCGCGCTAGGTGTCAATCAACACCCACCACACGGAGTACACCCCTCCCTTCGGATCCACTTCATCGTCGTCTGGAGAAAAAAACGGAGCACATTGAAACCATTCATCAAACAAATGAAGTGTGAGGAGTGACAAAAAGGAGGAGAGTAAATCAATATACTCGCGCGACGATAGAAATCAAAGCCAAGAACTTGGATCCCCTCTCGCCGCCGCATTATTTATCACCGAGCTGAGGAGCGAAAAAGTGTCGCACACAACTCCGGCAAGCGAGATGACAGTAGAAGGAAGAGCAAAAAAAAAAGCTCCCAGCATCAACAGTGAAGGATCAGCCGTCAAATTGATTTTGTAATCCTTTACTTCTTGCGGGAATCAGGACAGGAAAAAAAAAAAGGCGAACGATAACAGATTCCGCTTGTCTTGCTTGCTTGGAAGAATGTTTATAGCTCGGAAGGAAGGGGACCACGAAGAGCAACGTGCATTGCGTGATGCTGGCTGGAAGAAGTGGAGAGAGCATAAACCCAAAATAGAACCATAAAAAAGTTTCCGTCGATGTGTGTGACTTTCGAGGGAGGGCGGCGAGGATGAGCATGAGGCGATTAATTGAATTAAATTTAACCCGTTTCGCGTGGTATACGACCCATTAGGGGAGAGTGGCAGTAATTTCAAGTATTTCTCGCTCTCGTGTTATTTAATGAGTCCAAATTAATCAACTGAACTGACGGACTGACAACGACGACGACGACGACGGCGGTGGTTCAGTGTTCAGTCTCTCCAGAACCCTTGAGAATGGGAGGAAAAAAAACGAAACAAACGAATGAGAAGGACAGAATCAGGACGCCAACCTCGTAGCGTCAAATCAGTACGACCGAACAGATGTCAAAAGTGACAGATGATTTTCGAACGATGCGAAGCGCGGGTGTCTGGGTGTATGGGTGAAAGGTTTGTTCCAGTGAGGAAGCGTTGCCTGCTCCGGTGGTTCGGCGAGGATTGTTGTGAATCGATTTGTACGGCAGCGAGCCATGGTTTCTGGTGGTGTCGGTGGCACTGGTTTGTGGCAGCGATCGAAGAGTACGGACGCCATTGCTGCCAACCGTGCGGCGTGAATCGCTGTAACCAGACTGAAATTTCTTTGTCTCCCGTGTACGCGAGCCACTAGAGGACGACGACAGACGATCGGTTTCTCGTTTCTGCAGAGTTGTCCCCATTTGGAAAGCCAATTTGGGCTGATTTCACGACAGAAAGTGCCCACAGTGACGTGCGAACAATTTGGGAAGCAATTTTCCGATCTCGGTACGTGCCACGTCGCGGTTCCTGAGCGAAGATTCTCAGTAAAATCGGCGGACGAAAATCCGGGACTGTAAAAACAACCACGGACAATTTTCACACGAAGAAAAACGGACGGACAGACGGACGGGTCTGTGTGTACCAAGTGTGCGGTGTAGCGGTTCGATTGCGTGCATTGGTAGTGGTGTGTTTCTGGAGGTACCCTCTCTTGCGTACGTGCAAGCACAAGCTATGCTGCAAGAGACAAGAAGCCTGTGAGAAGGGAAAGAACGGCACGGCAATACAACATCAGAGCAGAGCAGTGTTGCCCGCTGCTGCTGCTGCTGCTGTGGTCCACGGTCCAGTGCTTGAACCATCGACGACGCCCGTCAAAGTGCGTTCTGAGCCGGTATTGGTGAGAGTTAGTGCGGTAGCACTGTATGTGTGTGACGTGCGTTTCGATTCGCCGCGCTGCTTATGTTGGCAGTATTGTGTGTTTTCATCCAACAACATATTGATGTGTTGATCTCTGTGTGTGCGCGAGGAAAAGAGTGCCACCAGGAGAAAACTCCAAGATCCAACGGATTGGAACGCAATGTTTTAGCATGAAATTTTCCCGAACGGAATGCCACACACTGTTGACGGTGAAAAAGACAAGTTCGACAAGGTTGGAAGGATCAACTAGAGGAAAACTTGGAATCCCACGGCTTGCGATCAACAGCGAGAAAGAGTAAATCGCCGAAGGTAGTGGGACATATACAAGAAGGAACGATTAGAGAGTGTTAATAACCTTTTGATGTGCAAGCTTTGTTCCCTCGCCAGTCGCTTCCCCCCGCAGCGATCCCCTCGTGTCAAGAGGCTCACACTAGATGGTCGTCATTGAAGGAAAACGTAAGACGTGAATGGTCCGACAAGTTTTCTCCGTTAAGTCCGAGAAGAATTCAAGTTGTAATTAAAGTGGCAAGTGCAAGGTGCCGAACAGTCGAAGACACTAGTAACAGTTTAGCAAGTTCGGTGAGCAGTGGAAGATTTTCTGGAACCCCAAGTGGGAACTGGATCCATTGGAAGATTACGGGTTCCAACCAAGGAAAAACCTTCCGTCTCAGCCAACCAGTCAGTCAGTCAGTCAGACACTCTGTGTACAAACACACACCGCACACGCGTGATACGATAGTGTTGGTTGTATCAGTAGCAGTAGCAGAATCAGCAGCCAGCAGTGGAAGAAGAAGCAAGAAGCGTGTGAAGTTTTGCATGAAGCCGACAGCACTGTAGTGGTACCGTGTCGTCAGAACGCGTTGCCTGCGGCTGTATTGGTGTGGTGTGATACTGCTGCTCTTCGCTGTGACGGTCTCCTAATATATTTCCTCAACCAACAAACCAAACCAAAAAAAAAACTGTGTACAATTGAGGAAAATCATGTTTCTGCAAATGAAATCAATCAATTGAACATTTGGAGCAGGTTTTCGGTGAAACTGGACAGGGACTAGTTATCGAAAAGGTGAAAGAATCTTCGCCTCGTTTTCCTTTTTTTCTTTCCCTGTGGTTGAGGCTGAATCGTGTAAGGTGTGTGTACGCGGTGAGAAGAAGGAGAAGGTGAAGGGAAGCATTGTGCAAGTCCCGTGTGCAAATCGGGCTTAGTAGTGCTCGCCTCCATTTGGTGAATCCGGAGGAGGCCCTTCACATCGCGCACCGTTCGTTCGTTCGTGCTGGGAGAAGAAGCAAAGAAGAAGAAAATTTCCGAACCAAGTCAGTCAAAGAGTTGAAAAGTGCTGAAAACTGAAACACCGTGTTCAGGAAATTAGCGGAAGCTTTTGGAGTCAAGTGAAGAAGATTCCGTGCTGCGGGTGAAGACAAGTTTGTGAACGGTGTGACCCCCCGATACAGGGTTAAAGAAGACACGGGGAATGCTGCGTTCCGCCATTGAGTTTCATTTGTGGATCGCCGTCTTTTTTTATTTTCCTCTATAGTTTGTGTTTACATATATATGTATTGAAGAAAACGAAGAAGCATCAGGCAAACAGCAGCGGCAGCGATTAAAACGCTGACTCGGCAGAAGATTTGCCGGAAGTGGTTTCTGTGATGGAAGTGAAAATCTGAATTTGGCGTAGCAACAACAACAACAACAACAACCAGAGCAAAAAGTGAGGAAAAGTTCAGCGGAAATACGATTAAAATTACGCAGGAAAGGAGATCCTCGCGCGGTCCCCTACATTGGTGTGCGTGTGACGTGTAGTCCGTTCCGACGTCGTCGTCATTCCGTGGGCCCTCGACAGCCCGAGCTCGAAGAAGAAGAGTTTCTTGTTAAATAAGGTGCCCCCCCTCTTTAGATTCGAATAATCAATCAAACCCGTGCGAGCACATCCGTCAATGAATTCAGCACCATCCATACGAAGGGCCGAAGAAAATAGAAAAGTTAAGCCTGTGCCAGAGAAAAAAAAAGTCAATCAACCAACCGAGCAGTGAGTGGTGCGTGTATATATCATCTCCAAAGTGGGTGCGATAGTGGTGTGCGTGTACGTCTCTCCATTGTTATCTGAAATCGATTGACGACGTCGCGCTTGTCAACTGAAAATAGGAGAAAAATAAAGAAATAATTGCATGTGAGAAAAAAGTTTGCACCCCCTGAAAGTAGGAAGTGTAGGAAGATTTGAGTGTTAAAATCCGTTTCCCGTGAGTAGCAAATGTGTGTAAAGCTACATCAACAACAGCAACTCGGAAAAGTGGTCCCCCGTAGCCAATAATGCATCCCAATTGCGACGGGGTGATCGAGCCATGGAAATAGATGTAAAGCAACAGAGCAAGCAGCGCAACAAACGACGGGAACGGGCCCAACGTATGATAGCCGAGCGGGATAAGGATGCCGCCGCTACCGCCGATGGTACTGCCGCTGCTGGTGCGGCTGCCTCCAGTGCAGGTGGTGGCGGTGGCGGAGGCGGTCCCGGCAGTTGCGTTTTCGGTCCGGACGACAGTGCCGACGAGGACGTGCCGATAAGCCGGGAGAAGCCACCGCGGCCAACGGTGCGGCGGAAGCGAAAGGAGAAGGATCCCTCGCCGATCCTGGAGGAGGACATTGTGGACGGGTTCGCCATCCTCGCGTTCAAGACGTACGAGGAACTGGAGGTGAGTCGGAATGTTGTGTTTGCCTTTTCCGGCACAATTGCCAAACCTTACTCTTTGTTACTGAAGGGCAGGACGTGACAATAGGATTCTGATTATCTGGAGTTGACCAAGCCTGGGTTTGTACTATTCCATTCAGGAAGAAGGGAATACCTCAAAATCCCCTCACCCATCAAGTGAGCTAGGAGTGCGCATTTGATTAGGTCCTTCGCTCAATTTCAACTTCTGTTCAATTTTCACACTGCCGTACTCTAGCGGAACTACCAATCTATCGTCTGCAGAACTATCTTTAGCTAATAAATTATCGCACTAAAGGTCACTTTGAAGAATAAGAAGCTTCTTGTTACGTTCTGGCCTACACATTAAACAACATTTTGTATTGTCGCAGCGAAACAGATGCACTTCATCCATGTTGAAAAAGTGGTGTAATGGTACATAAACCTGATGTACCTGATGTAGCGGGTATTCGTTAGGGAATTTTGTGTTACTACAGTCAATTATTGATGGAAGTCTTATCATATTTTTCCATACTAATTTCCAAAATGTATCTCCACCCTTCAATATCGAGTTAGGGAGCGTTGACTGTATTTTGATTTCGATGTCTGTGTTAGGGAGGTTTGCTTGATTGATCGCCACAAGCTTCATCCATCCAAATGCCGCATGCTCGCACTCGTCAATGTAGCTGCTTGAAAGTTCGGGTCCAACTTGGATGATATTTCGACCTCGTTTCGGTTCAATTTAACAGAAGGTTGAACGTTTTTTGGTAGCGCATTTGGGACAGAATCCTAACGAGGATTCTACGGAGGAGAATCAGAATAAGGGTGCATAAACCTGATGAACATATATAATACATTAACCTAATGAACGAATGCAGGTGGTATTCGTTAGTATTTTTTTTTTTACTACAGTCAACTCTCCCTCACTCGATATTTTACACAACTTGATGGAAGTCTTGCAACTTTTTCCATATTAATGCCGAAATTTACCTCCACCCTTCAATCTCGAGCTAGGGAGAGTTTACTGTACTTTGATTTCGATGTCTGTGTTAGGGATGTTTGCTTGAGTGATCGCAGACTTCATCCAAAAGCGACAAGCTCTCAAACGTCACTGTAGATACTTGCAATTAATGTCCTCATTCCCATACAGTTCGGGTCCAACTTCGATGGTAATTCGAACTCGTTTCGGTCTCAATTTTACAAAAGTGTGCACTTTGTGCGAATGGGAACAATTAAACTGTCAAATTTGGGGCAGAATTCCTATGAGAATTGCATTGGCAACCACGGAGTAAACTCAGAAATAGGCTTGTTTTCGAACGCGTTACTACTTTTCCGACGCTTTTTGAGCATTTCCATTTCCAACAGTAACTGTTGCCAATACCAGGGAGCAAAAGAACTTTACGGGCTTCCACACAGTGCAAAAGAAGTGCTCAGCAATGACGCAAGCCGGACCGCTGCGCTATTAAATTTTCTCAAAGAGGCAGCGGACCCTTCACTGAAGCATGCTACCAGTGGCACCTTCTTCTTCATCATGGACTGACTACCCGCATTATCACCCGGATTACCGACCTTAAACGGACCAATGATACAACCACGATCCATACGCACCAAAACTCGGACTACTGACCCCAACAGATCTACGACACAACCAGAATCCACCAGCAAAGAACCATTGACCCTTCGTGACAGCAAACTAGAGAACCCTTCTGGGGCCCCATCCTTCTCCCGGGACCCCCCTCAGAGATCCTCAGAGACGAACCTGCCAATAGCTGAAAGTCTTTTAAATAAAGTAACCTAACTCCCACGCAAACTAGCCACACCTTCTGATAGAGCAAATAAGTTGAATCCCCTGAATGAGTTGTTATCCGCGAGAAATGGATGTTCAAAGTCAGTGCTTACATTTGACTCATAGGATCTTTTCAAATGTGACCCTATTGCATTTTGTCTTGATTGGACTACTGGTTTCGGTGAGGAACTTACAGAGACACTGATGGGTGAAAAGATCGAGAGAAGCGTTGGTTATTACCGATAGGTGGATGAATCTAAACTTTGTTTTGTCATAATTAGATTTGCTTCCGTACCTGCAGTGAATTGAAGATTCTGTAACTTTCAGAAAGTTTATGGAATCGCTTAGGACTTACCAAATCTTATATTATAACCCTTGTACAGGACGTGATATTAGAGAGTATCGAGAAGGAGCCAATTTGATCGGTAATTTCTGATTGTCAAGCACGATCTAGCTGGACTATATTTTCGGGATACAGTCACTTTGAAGAATCATTAACTGAATTTTAGGATTTTTTTTTTTTCAAAGAAATTTGGAGCAGACTTTAAAATGAATTCTAGAGATAACAGATATTTCAGAGAAAATGTTCTAGGGACTTTTGGGATGAGCTCTACGAGAGTTTTGGCTAGCATTTCAAGTCGATTGTGTGAGTTCAGCTTTGCGGAAAATTGCATGGCCATTGTGAAGAGGATTCCAGGATCCAAGGGAATCGTATTTTAACTTTTAAGGGTACAATTCTAAAGGAATTCTGCGCTTCATCTTGCAGTTCTAGATAGAGCTGGAATTAGGGCGCAACAGCCTTTGTAAACAATGACTTCTCTCGTTGATTTCTTGGAATTCAAGGCACGCCTACACAAACCAACATATCTGTGGATTTCCACCTGGTTCAAAGGAGAATCCCCCAACGCTGTAGCTTGCAGCTAAATTGTTACTTACCTCTTCGAGCTCCTGGGAATGAAAGGCCACGAGTTCTGGGTTTTCAAATATACGAAGCATAGCCTACTTAGATCAAATCGACATAGAGTGTTCGTCGACTTTAGCTCCGTATACATTTCTACCGAATCATTAATACAGCTCATTTCACACTTTCTTAAGCTCATGACTGTATACCGCACAATATCCATCGGGTAGGAGAAGTCTTCCTCTACTTGATGGTGATGTCGATTTGCCAGGGAGAGCCATGGCTTCCGAGAAATCATCGAGAGAAGTCATTGTTTACAAAAGCTGTTACGCCCTAATTCCAGCTCTATCTAGAGTTATTCTTTCATTTTAACTATGGTACCATGGAGTCAACAAAGTAAAAGTGAAAGAAGTGATGCTCGTTAGCAAAATACCCGGAGACATTGTCTATTTTCCGCACTGGTGTTATGGGTTGATAAGAAGCAACTAGGAACTCAAGGTATTCATAGGACTTTATAAAAAATGTTCGAAATGTCGTAGAACACATCAAAAATAACATGGGAGACTTTCAGCGATGCAGAGAGGAACAACGGGTTCACAAATAGACAAAAAAAATTGGACAGAAGAGCGAAAGTTGGTGAGATCGTATAAATTTTTGACGTAGGATTACGTTTTTCGGCAACATATTGAGGGTGCAATTTCAAGTGGTCAGGTTTTGACTACTTATAACTCTGTCAATAGTGGATGGATTTTAATTCTAAACAAGCCATGCGATTGGAAATTTTTCTACGAATCTGCTAAAATGAACACTTTATCAATTTTCACACTTCATTCGATTGCCTAATGGGAAAAAGTGGTTTCCCTAACACAGTCGCCGAATATTGATACCGAGCACGTAATCCTATGTCAAATCTACGGTCGTGTCTTGGATGCAGCATCTTATTTTTTTATTTATAGTATTGCCCATATATATACAAAACAATGCTGGGATTGGGAAGGACCATCAGAGCACCCGATTAAAGCGATTTGGACGGGGAGAGTGGGAATGCCAACTACCTGTTGATAACATTTCGTGGATAAAGGGCGGGCTCTTCTCCCCACTCATTGGGGCATCTTCCTGTTTGGAGGCTCGTCTTTTTGAACAATTGTGCGATCATGTTGCTGGAAGCAAATGTTTTTGTAATTCAGGAATTCCTTTAACGCGAGTAATATTTAAACCACCTAGAACACCCAGAAGCGAGTTGTACCCAGTTTCGTTCCACGTACCACTTCTTACCGGAACTGTGAGAATTGTTATAATCTCCAGAACTCCGAAAAAGTTTGATGCTGCAGAATTGCATGAACTTCCAGAACTTTTGGAGTTCCCGGGACTCTTAGGAATTAGTAGCGCTCTGACGAATCTTTTTGATGTGCTGCTTTCCACAATCCAAAAATTTCATAAACGTCAAGAACTGGTGAAACTTCTGGAACACAAAAAAAAACCTCGAAGTATGAGACTTCCAGCAGCACAAAGTGTGAGACTTCCAGCAGCAGAGATGGTATTCATTAATTTACTGTCTGTTGATTCCTCGGCTTACTCTGTTAACCGCCTTCATATATTAGGCGTCAGTCTTGTTTGTAAACAAAATAAAATTCTCGCGTCACTTTTCAATGAGCCCTTTCTGCATTGATCGATTCCCTTCATCGACTTTCTCTTTGGATCGTCACGGCCGTGTTAAGATATTTTGAACACCCAGATCGATGGAAGACACAACAATCTAGCATATGACAAAGACGACAGGAAATGTTTTTGTAGCCGAGTTATTTACAAAAGAGAGAGTCTATGAAGAGAATTGAGAATTGAGAGAATGTAGATTGGTCTATTTGAATTCGGAGTAGGTAACCTGAATGACACGACGAGAGCGGGATGGTCAGCATCTAGACTGATCAGTGGCCGTTAATGCGAAATCATTTGCCAGGACAAGATCTAGCAAAGGTCCGTTTCGATTGGGAAAAGTGTTTACTTGACTAAACCCGTGTAAGTTAAATCCGTCCAAAAGAGCACAGCCAGCCACCGGCATATGCAATAGCAGTGGGTCAATGAATGGTGTGCCGCTGTCGGTAAAGCGCCACTGTACCTAAACCAGCTTGGTTGTAGTCGCCAAATAGTAGTGCGGGAGAGCGGGGACTCAATCGAGATCTAACGATGATGCTCAAGGATGATCGTGCAGTCGGCAGGTAGACAGCGCCAATACTGAGAATGTTTTGTGGAAATTCTACGAAAATCCTGAGTCGTTCCAACAGACTGGAAATGGGCGAGGTACTAAGGTAGCTGGTTAGTC